CATCGCGCTCATTCTTTCCTCAAGGGCTGTACAAATTAAACTTGGGTGAAAATTTGGGGAAAATACCATGCTCCATCCTCCAGACTTTTGTGCTTCCTCCAAATCAAACACTAACTCACCACCATGTTCTCTAATAAGAATATCACAGGCCAGCTCTCACTTTAACAGGTATACTACTTTAGGCCTCTCTCTTTCCCAAACTGATATCTATCCTTTACTGTCAACTAAATAACTCCAGTTTCATGCAATTCACACTTTCTCTCCAAGTGGGAAAAAGATCTTTGATGTACTAAGGATAGAGAAGATTGCATTCAAATCTGGTCTAGTGTAACCACTTGCTCTTTTAACCTCCCTGGAGGTATTCCCGAGTGTAGCTCAGGGTAAAGTTTCAGCATCACAAGCAGTAACCCCGGGAATACCCTGCAGCATTGCTCCGGGATCTCTTCTTCACATCCCGTGATGTCCCTCCTGCAGTGTCCCTGGCAATGTGCTCTGGTGGATGCCAGCACCTGTCTTCCGGGTTCCATTCCCTGCGACGTCAGGACGTATGGGGACGGAACGGCGGGAAATTTAAAAAAGTGAAAAAGTGACATTCACTAAACATACTAAAATAACATAGTAAAACATTACTGTATCAAACCATTTCACATACATTTTGTGCCTAGTGCTTTGTCCTGTGCCCTGCCTGCATTTTTAATGTTCTTTCTGCCTTGAAACTGAGAAAAGTCCATGGTGTCCAAAAATCGTCCCTTTAGGTCAAAAGCAGTTTTAGACCAGCTAGAGAACAGCGATAGTGAATTAGAACTGCTTGCAGAATTGAGTGATGATTTGTGGGGAAATTCGTCATCAGACACTGAAAACGATTTTGCGACTTTGCTCAGTGATGTGCGAACTTGGCGCTATATTTCAAATTTCATTGTTTTTGGTTTGATTATATTATTGACTCAAATTTATTATTATTATTATATTATTTTTAATGATATTTATTAAATTATAATTTATGATTTCCTGTTTCAAATTTTAACATACCCAGGACGTTTACTAGACTCTTGTTCAGACAGATTTCAGTGAGTTATTCCTAAAAATAACAGGCCTATAATAAAGAAAATACATATTTCCATGCAAACAAAGTACCGCTTTGAGCACAGAAATACTGACATAATCAGACCGCTAGGGAGGTTAACATATACACACCAGAATCTGCATTTAAGACTGTTGTGAAGTGGTACATGGTTCCATCCGTCTTTTGCACATGTGCACCTGTCTCTCACTGGTATGTGCTTCTGTGGCTGCTTAACCCCGAAATATGTTTTACATGGATAGCAGACCTGCCCGATGCTCGGGAGGTTTTGGACCAAGGTTCTCAAACTCCTACAATCCCCATTTTATTTCCTCTTCCCAAGAGACCCCTGGTGTGTTCTACTACACCTTAAACCCCCAAGAGCTCACGAAGTTCCAAATGAAGCTGGCAAATTATTTCCTGTTAGCCGTAAAGCAAACTACTGGGAAGGCCTGAAAAATGCAGTTTGTATATTTTGCGGAAGTTCTTCAACAGATTGACACTTTCTTTATCAATGAAATGCTCACTAATATCTTACTGGAGACATAAAATAAATGCCTTAAGATATGGACCTCATAGATAGAATATGCTAATCCTTCACTACCTATAGTGAGTTATACCTCCTTATAGGCGTTACGTTTTGGGGCCCTGGGCTTGGATGTTCTTGACGTCCCCTCCTCTCCCATCTTCCCCTTCCCTACCTTCTTTCTTTCTTACTCTGTTTTAATACAAACCCTGCAATCCACCCAGATCTAAGGTTCTTCTGAACAATTATTGTTTGCTGTTGCACAACTTCCCAGTTAGTCAACGATCCTTTTTAAATCACAACTACTTACAACCTTGCAACCATGTTTTCGAAGGATCCTCTATACTTGGTAGCTGTGTCCTTGTTGCTACATAGCGTATGTCTAAATTCACTTGTCACTTCTCACAATGACTTGCACTTTGCAATATTTCAATAAAATTTTATTGAAAGTGGGAAAAAAAGATAAAGGATTCCTCCATCCACAGAAATGATCTGTCAGAATACACCGATCAATGGCTGCAGATGCTGATCAAAAAAAAACTTTCCGACATGTTCCTTTGACAGAAGGAAATAAAAAATCAACTTCTGGTGAGTGGGAACAGCCACACACTGATCAAAATGAATTTCAATCAGAATATAGCCAGCTTTACTGCTGAATTCAGGTGTTTACAGTAACACAGTTGCAATTCAGCTAACCGGATACAGTAATAATTTTACAAGAAAGTTATTATATTTTGTGAAAAAATGTGTTCATCGATTAATTTGCTTGTATATTGGGATGTGAACAAATGAGTTTAATATATTGCATTTCAGTCAAGTAACAACATTTAATAAAATCTTTAAAGAACTGCAAATTAGAGAACATTCTTTAACTGCTTCTCGACTGCCCTATAGCAGATATATAGCTACAGGGCAGCAAGGGTGTGCAAAATCATGTATATATAAATGAGTTTGTGTTTCTGGGTAGGGGGCGCATGCCCCACCCGTGCCGCCATTTGCAGCTGCGGCTGTCAATCACCGGGTCCCAGCCGGTGATTCCCCGCCGGCACCCAGTGTTTACCGAGCATCTCAGACGGTCAGGAAGACTGCTTTGTTTACTAACAGTCCTACTTCCTGTCAGCTCTGGCACTCTGCTCTGGATGGCTATGCACAGCCATCCAGAGCAGTGTGATTACAGTAAAGCCCACACACACTGCCCCTATGTAAAACACTCCCTGCACACAATTAACCCTTTGATCGCCCCTGATGTTAACCCCTTCCTGCCCAGTGCCATTAGTACTGATCACTGTATTGATGTCACTGGGGATGTCCGTGATACCAAGTCATTTCCCCCCAGTGTCAGAATGCCCGCCGCAGTCTCGTTATAAGTCGCTGATCGCTGCCATTACTAGTAATTTTTTTTTTTTAGCAATGTAGCAGAATACATTTTGGCGTAAATTTATGACAAAATTAGTGTTTTACATTTTTTTACAGGACATGTTTAATAGCAAAAAATCAAAAATATAGTTTTTTTTTTTTTTCTCAAAACTGTCAGTTTTTTTTTTTTTTTATATAGCCAAAAATAAAAACTGCACAGGCGATCAAATACCACCAAAAGAAAGCTCAATACGTGGGGAAAAAAAGATGTAAATTTCATTTGGGTGCAGTGTTGCATGACTGCGCAATTGTTATTTAAAGAAACACAGCGCCATAACACAAAAAAAATGACCTGGTCAGGAAGGGGGGTAAATCCTCAGGAGGGCAAGTGGTTAATCCAGTACACTACTGTAACCAAACATCTAAATCTTACTGTATAAGCTTTTGCAGTCTTATGTGCAGCTCTTTTTTTTTTCTGGACCCAGGAGATTTCCATGAAGATGTTTCTTTTAAGGTCAAGCTTTCCCTAGAGCTTCAGAAAGCTTTGAGCACAGCTATAAAACATATTTCAGTTTTAATCTTTTAAGTGTAATGCTACCGGACATCAAAAGAGCAGTGAGTAAATAGCCAGATGCACGAAGACGCATTGTATAGCACTGTGGATAGTAATGAGAATGCATGTTCCAGAAAGTGTTCCCTATGTTCAGGCTGTACGGTTAATTTGGATCTTAATTTAATAAAGCAAAGAGCAACTTCTATAAACCATAACAGTGAGTTATTGATTCGTTTTCCCTTATCCTGACTATTTGTTGCTTATGGGAGATGACTCGTGATAACTGTTTGACAACTAAAGTAAACTGCTTGTGTTCTTCAGTCCCCCCCCCCCCCCCCCCCCAAAAAAAAATATAAATCAGCAGATAAAAATACTGTGGCTGCTGAGTTTTGATATAAGGACATTGCACTAACCAGGGATCCAGTGCCATCCTCACCCAGGCCTGTTCTTTGCTGGTCTTTGGGTCCCTGGCGTCAGCATGTTTAATAAAGGAAACTGGTTGTGACTCCTTGTGGCTATACAGATTAGTTTCCCGTTGCACTTTTTGAAAGGCCCCACAGCCTTCTGGGACCTGTGGCATGTCCCAGAAGGCTTTGGGCAAAGGGGGCGAACTTTTGCTTGATTTGGTTAGGAGATAGGCAATAAACTACCTCCAAACAAAGGAGAAAGAAATAAAAACCATGAGAAACAGAATAACATTATTGTTTCTTTTCAGATACCAGTTAAGGGAAAATTCTGATATTGACCATAGAAATCAAGTAATTGCCTGTTGTAGCATGATGGAATTCTACAGACTGCAATTTTCATGGATAGTTAAGCGATGTATGCTTTTGAAATATCTATTTTAACTAATATTAAGCATTGTACGTGTCTGCAAAATCAAGAAATTGTGTGAGATTGCTGATAGTGAGATTGTGTTCCTATGCCTTTCTGTGCACCCTCTCAGTGTATCAGCATGGTAAAACAGAACAGAAAGTGTATGTGTGTGTGTGTGTGTGTGTACACAAGGAGAAATGCAGTAGCATACTCAATTAATCAATCTATATAAATATCATGTGTTGGTATTTTACGTGCTAGTTAAAATGCAACATTTTATTACTACTATTACTTTTATGTGATTTATTATTATAGTATTATTTCTTTTTTCTCAGGAGCTGCAAAATCAAGTCCAATTGCAAAACCAGGTTCCACATCATCTCGTCCATCATCTGCAAAAAAAGCAGCTCCAAGTTCTTCAGGAAAAAGTGACAAAGATTTGGAAACACAAGTTGTACATCTTAATGAACAGGTAATGCAGTCTCTATAATCTAAATTGGAAGATTCACATGCCTATCAACCAGTCTGATTTAGCTCAGTACCAGACCTAAATTAATTTAGATTACAGTCTTTAAAACCCTGCATGTACACTATATTGCCAAAAGTATTGGAACACCCCTCCACATCATGTGATTCAGGTGTTCCAATCACCTCCATGGCCACAGGTGTATAAAACCAAGCACCTAGGCATGCAGATTGCTTCTACAAACATTTGTGAAAGAATGGGTCACTCTCAGGAGCTCAGTGAATTCAAGTGTGATAACTTGATAAGTTGCCACCTGTGCAATAAGTCCATCCGTGAAATTTCATTGCTACTAAAATAGTCCACGGTCAACTGTTAGTGGTACTTTAACATAGTGGAAGCAACTGGAAACAACAGAAACTCAGCCACGAAGTGGTAGGCCACATAAAATGACAGAGTGGGGTCAGCGCATGCTGAAACGCACAGTTCGTCGACGTTGCCAACTGTCTGCAGAGTCAATAGCTAAAGACCTCCAAACTTTGTGTGGCCTTCAGATTAGCACAACAACAGTGCGTAGAGAGCTTCATGGCATGGAGTTCCATGACCGAGAAGCCTTACATCACTAAGTGCAATGCAAAGCATTGGATGCAGTGGTGTAAAGCACATTGCCATTGGACTCTAGAGCAGTGGAGACGTGTTTTCTCTGGAGTGACGAATCACGATTCTCTGTCTGGTAATCCGATGGATGTGTCTGGGTTTGGCTGTTGCCAGGAGAACGATACTTGCTGACTGCATTGTGCCACGTGTAAAGTTTGGTGGAGGGGGGATTATGGTGTGGAGTTGTTTTTCAGAGGTTGGGCTTGGCCCTTTAGTTCCAGTGAAGGGAACTCTTAAGGCGTCAGCATACCAAAACATTTTGCACAATTTCATGGTTCCAGCTTTGTGGGAACAGTTTGGGGATGGCCCCTTCGTGCTCCAACATGACTGTGCACCAGTGCACAAAGCAAGGTCCATAAAGAAATTGATGAGCAAGTTTGGGGCAGAGGAACTTGACATACCTGCACAAAGTCCTGACCTCAACCCAATAGAACACCTTTGGGATGAATTAGTGAAGAGACTGCGAGCCAGGCCATCTCATCCAACATCAGTGCCTGACCTCACAAATGCGCTTCTGGAAGAATGATCAAACATTCCCATAGACTCACTCCTAAATCTTGTGGACAGCCAGAGTTGAAGCTGTTATAGCTGCAAAGAGTGCAAAGTCAATATTGCCATTAAAGTTCATGTGCATATAAAGGCAGGCGTCCCAATGCTTTTGGCACTATAGTGCATCTTAGTTGTACTCAGATAGGGGCTTTTTAAGCTTGTTGCTGATATAGACTTTGTACCCAGCTTTATTGTGCCTATACACATGGAAAAAGTTCAAGCCACACAAATTGGTCTCGGGAAGTAGTAGCACAGTGTTGAACACATCTGAAAAAACACAGCGTTGGTCTAGAGTCTAAATCTACTAGTCTTACTACAATAGGTATAACCACGTTAACTATATGCTTCTTTTCAATTACATATTTAAAACAACCACACAAATCCGTGGCACTCAGGGAATCAAATAATAATTGTTAAGAGAAAATCCCTCCAATTTAATACTTTCTAAAACCACGTTAATATAAACAAAGTTATTGACATACGAGAAAATAATGCACGATTCAGACTTGATTGCTTAATAACTGCCACATTAAAAACTAGATTTCAAACCAACGGCAACAAAATATGGTTTTAAATATCTGTCTAATAATATCACTCATGAACATATATCACACAATCAATACAGAAATTATATATTTATTTATTTCAGGTACTTACAGTTGCAAGAAAAAGTATGTGAACCCCTTGGGATTACGTGGAGTTTTGCATGAATTGGGCATTAAATGTGCTCGGAACGTCATCTAAGTCACAACAATAGAAGAACAAGTCTGCTGAACATAATACAACACAAACATTTGATTTTGCCATGGTTTAATTGCACATAACATGTAAACATTCACAGTGCAGGGAGGAAAAAGTATGTGAGGCCCTAGCTTAATGACTTCTCCCAGAGCTAATTGGAGCCAGGAGTGAGCCAAACCTTGACTCCAATCAGTGTGATGATATTGGATGTGTTGCTGACAGCTGTCCTGCCCTTAAAAAACACACACCTGTTTTGGTTACTGGTTTCAAGAAGCACTGTCTGATGTGAACCATGCCTCGCAGAAAAGAGCTCTCAGAAGACCTACGATCAAGAATTGTTGACTTGCATGAAGCTGGAAAGGGTTACAAAAGTATCTCCAAAAGCCTTGATGTTCATGTGTCCACGGTAAGACAGACTGTCTACAAATGGAGAAAGTTTAGCACTGTTGCTACTCTCCCTAGGCGTGGTCGTCCTGTAAAAATGACTGCAAGAGCACAGCGCAGAATGCTGCATGAGGTAAAGAAGAATCCCAGAGTGTCAGCTAAAGACCTACAGAAATCTCTGGCACATGCTAACATTTTTGTTGAACATCTACAATAAGGAAAACATTAAACAAAATGGAGTACCGTGGGAGGACACCACGGAGGAAGCCATTGCTGTCCAAAAATCATATTGCAGCACGTTTGAAGTTTGCAAAAAAGAGCACCTGGATGTTCCACAGCGCTACTGGCAAAATAACTGTGGACAGATGAAACCAAGATTGAGTTGTTTGGGAAGAACACACAACACTATGTGTGGAGAAAAAAAGGCACAGCACACCAACATCAAAACCTCATCCCCACTGTAAAACATGGCGGAGGGAGCATCATGGTTTGGGGCTGCTTTGCTGCCTCAGGGCCTGGACGGATTGTTGTCATTGATGGGAAAATGAATTCCAGAGTTTATCAAGACATTTTGCAGGAAAACGTACGACCATCTGTCTGCCAACTGAAGCTCCGCAGAGGATGGGTGATGCAACAGGACAATGACCCAAAGCATACAAGTAATTCAACAAAACAATGGCTGCAACAGCACAGAATACGCCTTCTGGAGTGGCCCAGTCAGAGTCCTGACCTCAACCCGATTGAAATGCTGTGGCATGACCTTAAGAGAGCGATTCACACCAGACATCCCAAGAATATTGCTACACTGAAACAGTTTTGTGAAGAGGAGTGGTCCAAAATTACTCCAGATCCTTGTGCAGGTCTGATCTGCAACTACAGGAAACGTTTGGTTGAGGTTATTGCTGCAAAAGAGGGTCAACCAGTTATTAAGTCCAAAGGTTCACATACTTTTTGCTCCCTGCACTGTGAATGTTTACATGTTATGTGCAATTAAACCATGGCAACATCTAATGTTTGTGTAGTTTATGTTCAGCAGACTGTGTTCTTCTATTGTTGTGACTTAGATGACGTTCATTTTATGCCCAATTTGCAAAACTCCACGTAATCCCATGGGGTTCACATACTTTTTCTTGCAACTGTATATAGCGCTGTCAATTTTACGCAGCGCTTTACATTCATATATTGTACATTCACATCAGTCCCTAACCCTCAAGGGGTGTACAATCTAAGGTCCCTAACTTGCATTCATACATACACATACTAGGGCCAATTTGGACAGGAATCAATTCACCTACCAGCATGTCTTTGGAGTGTGGAAGGAAACCGGAGTACCCGGAGGAAACACATGCAAGCACAGGAAGAACATGCAAACAACATATATAAGTTCTGTTTCATGCAAATATAAAAATATCTCCAGTCTATACAGCTGAAAACTGAAAATACATGCAAATTGGACTCTTGTACCAGAGACCGCAAAGATTTGACCATACACAGGAATGGTTAAAGCTGCATTGCCTATATATTCAGTGCCAAATCCATCCTATAATTTGTGGTTGTAATAACAACACTACATTGCCTGTTCTGTATGGAGCAGATAACTTTTTGAAAGCGGTCTACACCCCATAAAGAGCCCAATTCTCAACAAACAAATCTTTTACAACCCAACATGCCTGATAATTTCACCTGTGTACAGTAGCACTTTCCCCAGTTTATTTATGTTGTGGGCGAATCAGTGGTTGTTAAATGGGTATCTTAATATTTTTTTTTTTTTCATTTTAGATAAAAAAAGATAGAGCAGGTAAGGTTTTAAAGCCCTATCAGTTTTTTACCACCTTTGTCCCATCGGAAGGATTTCCCTTCACTTTGTGCTCTGTAGATACAACAGGAAGTAAGAGGAAATCTCCCCAAAGTGAGGCTAAGGCCCATTTAGACAGTAATCACCAGAACAAGTGGATGGTTTCCTATCTCTTTTTGTTTTGGTGACAATTCAAAATTTTGGATTTTCCTTCACCTTCAGTCCTGGAGTATTTCCAGCTTTATGGGACTCCAGCTGGGAGATCACCCTCAGCTTCCATCACGGATGTAACAGGCCTCAAATGCGTTCCATGTAATCCTATGAATACTCTGCTGGTTGACGAGAGACACACAGAAAAGCAGTGTCACTTGCCTTCTAGTGGATTCTCTGTATAGGGATATACAGAGAACTGACTTCAGCAGGTGAAATAGAAAAACTGTTTAAAATAGTGAACAAGCCTGGACCTGATTAATACTCCTTTGAAATAAAGGGGGTTATAGTTACCTATAGTTATCCTATATATGTTAGGAGACAGACAAAAGATCTTACCTGAAATAGATGCATCTTTAATGAACATTGATATCTGTGAGACTGAAAAGCTGTTAGATGGGGGCATTTAATGCAAAAAAAAAGCAATTTGAACATATTTGTGTATATATATTTTTGTCCTGTTTGGAAACTGAAATGTGTTTTTTTTTTTTTTTTTTTTTTTTCCCCTAATTTAACTTTAGGTGCATTCATTAAAGCTTGCCCTTGAAGGAGTCGAGAAGGAACGAGATTTCTACTTTGGAAAGCTGAGGGAAATCGAACTTCTGTGCCAGGAACATGGACAAGAGGGTGACGACCTTGTCCAGAGGTTAATGGATGTCCTTTACTCTACAGATGATCACGTAGGTGTATGCTCATAAAAGCACAATGTCAAGACTTTATAACTTCATTATCAGATGCCTCCCAATCTTTTTTTTTTTTTTTTTTTTTTTTTGTTTATTTTTTTTTTTCCTCTCCGTAAGCAAATAAGTTTCATTACAAATGGACATTGATTTTTTTTCTGTCTCTTCTCTCCCCTAAAATATAAGTGTGTTGGGATGTTGGAGAACCATTTACATTGATCATTGTTTATACAGAGATGTGCAAAGCAAATAATTGAACAGGTTTACTTGCACTGGTCAAATATGTAAGGTATTTAGTGTAATTTATGGCAAAAGTGACTCCACTGATTTTTGGTTAACTATGTTCCCAGCTTCCTGTACGCTACAGGAAAAAAAGTACTATACAATTTAGTGCATTTCCCTTTAAGTACCCCCCCTATGCTGCAGTGTCCTGGGATACACATCACACATCCCTGGAAGTGACAGGATCAGTCTCCCTGCAGTCTGGATTTCACATATGTGCAGTAAGGAGTCAGCTGTCAGTGATCTGTAAATCACACCAGACTCCCATATCCAGGATGGTGGGACAAAAGATCAGAAGCTCTGGGAACAAAAATACACAGAAGGGCTGGTAAGTACAGGTGCATCTCAATAAATTAGAATATCATCAAAAAGTTAATTTATTTC